AAAAAAAAAAAAAAATCCATCAATTATATCCTAGTGACATAATGAACATTAATAATTGCCTCACAGTACCCAGGCCTTGTGGCGGGCACCTGTAGTCCCAGCTACCCAGGAGGCCAAGGCAAGAGAATTGCCTAAGCCCAGAAGTTGGAGGTTGCTGTGAACTGTGTGATGCCACAGCACTCTACTGAGGGTGATAAAGTGAGACTCTATCTCTACAAAAAAACAAATAATAAAATAATAATAATTGCCTCACAGTTCTAGAAATATGTATCTTCAAAACACTTGCCCATGTTAGCCACTCATAATAACTGCAGGAACTTACTGGGTCTTTATTCCATATAAGGCAATAATTTCTCCAATTATTTCTGACCCCAAGAAGTAGATACCTTTGTCATCTCCACTTTACAAATAAAAAAAATGAGGTCCCAGAGCTTCTTTGTTTAAAAAAAAAAAGTTTTTTTTTTTTTAAAGTGGATTACTATTCAAAACCATGTCCGTCTATTCCAAGTTCAATCACCACATTTTATTGTCTCTTGTTCAGAAATCTCACCCTGGAACTAAGTTCAATATGTGTTTAGAAATATTCCAGCAGGCTCTGTGGTCCTCCCATTCGTCAGACACTTGCTTCTTCTAGTGCAGCGCCAGCTGCATCCCCAAGGCACCATGATGAAAATGAAAGTCGAAATAAACAACTTTGGTCATACTGGGCGCCTGTTCACCGGGGCTGCTTTCAACTCTGGCAAAGTGGATACTGTCACCATCAATGACCCCTTCATTGACCTCAACTACATGGTCTACAGGTTCCAGTATGATTCTACCCATGGCAAATTCCATGGCACAGTCAAGGCTGAGAATGGGAAGCTTGTCATCAATAAAAATCCCATAACCATCTTCCAGGAGTGAGATCCCACCAAAATCAAATGGGGCGAGGCAGGCGCTGAATACATTGTGAGTCCACTGGCATCTTCACCACCATGGAGAAGGCTGGGGCTCACCTACAGGAGGGTGCCAAAAGGGTCATCATCTCTTCCCTTCTGCTGATGCCCCCATGTTTGTGAAGGGTGTGAGCCACGAGAAGTATGAAAACAGCCTCAGCATTGTCAGCAATGCCTCCTGCACCACCAACTGTTTAGTCCCCTTGGCTAAGGTCATCCATGACAACTCCAGCATTGTGGAGGGACTCATGACCACAGTCCATGCCATCACTGCCACCCAGAAGACTGTGGATGGCCTCTCTGGGAAGTTGTGGCATGATGGTCACGGGGCTCTCCAGAATATCATCCCTGCCTCAACTGGCACAGCCAAGGCTATGGGCAAGGTCATCCCTGAGCTGAAGGGGAAGCTTTACTGGCATGGCCTTCCGTGTCCCCACTGCCAACATGTCGGTCGTGGGTCTCACTTGCCGTCTGGAGAAAAGCTGCCAAATTCGATGATATCAAGAAGGTGGTGAAGCAGGCATCAGAGGGTCCCCTCAAGGGCATCCTGGGTTACACCAAACACCAGGTCATCTCCTCTGACTTCAACAGTGACAGCCATTCTTCTACCTTTGATGCTGGGGCTGGCATTGCCCTCAATAACCACTTTGTCAAACTCATTGCCTGGTATGATAATGAATTTTGGCTACAGCAATAGGGTGGTAGATATTATGTCCCACATGACCTCCAAAGAGTAAAAACCCCCAGAGCACCAGCCACAGCCACAGCCACAGCCAGAGCACGAGAGGAAGAGAGAAGCCCTTAGCTGCTGGGGTGCCCCTGCCTACTCAGTCCCCCACCTCACAGAGAATCTCCCCTCGACACAGTTTCCACACCAGACCCCCTGAAGAATGGGAGGGGCATGAGCCCCACCTTGCATGTAACATCGATAAAGTTTTTTTTTTTCTTTTTTTTGAGACAGGGTCTTACTATGTCACCCTGGGTAGAGTACTGTGGTGTCACAGCTCACAGCACCTCAAACTCTTGGGCTTAAGCGATTCCTCTTGCCTCAGCCTCCCAACTAGCTGGGACTACAGGCGCCGGCCACAGGGCCTGGCCATTCTTCTCTCCAGTTCATAAGATTATTCTCCTACCTCCCAGAAAGAAGAAAAATTAAAAAGAAAAAAAAAAGTTTTTCTATAATGAACACATTAAAAACTGCCACTTAGAATTTTACCTCAGGCCTCAGGAATGCTACACACAAATAAACAAAACCCTCACTCACATTTCTTTAATTTCTCATTCAGTTTTAGGACTGCTATGTTGACCAGTTTGATGAGGGCATTTTAAATTAGGTGTAAAACCAGCACATTATACCCCATGATAGCATAAATGTACACAGCTATGATTTAATTAAAGAAAAAAAAAAAAGAATAAAAGAAAAGTGGTTCCTCAGCCCTCAATCTACCACACAGCAGGCTCAGGGAAAAGACAGGCGTGATTTGTGGCACCTTGCAAGACTGAGGAAAAGCCACAAGGTAAATGGTTTGGTTTTCAAGCGGAGTCAAAAAGTCCCTGTCTGCAAAACCACCTCACTTCTGGCCTTGTGCCTTCCCATCTACCCCCTCCTCCCTCCCCTCCTCCCTCCCCTCTTTTCCTGAAGCCGAACAAAGGAAACAAAACAATAAGACTAGAAAGTGGAAACAGCCTAAACCAGTCTGGCCCTTGGTAAAGCACCCTTCCTCTCTGGTTAGAAGGCCTCAGCAAGATAGAGAACCACATTTCATCTAAGAGCAGGAACTTCTGGTAACCAGCGTTCTTTCTCTCTCTCCCCTCTCAATCTCCTGCTGTTTTTTAAATAAGTAAACTTCTTGAGGCTATGTCAATGATACTTGAAGACAGTGCTACTGAATACAAATCTCACTTCCTGGGTTAAAGGCTATACAACTAATCCATTTGAAGTATGTTTTCTCCCTACCACATTTAAAAATGATTTTTTTTAAATATTAAAAATTAACATGTGTGCTTTGTTAAAAAAAAAAAAAAAAAAAGTTCAACCAGTTCAGATTAATGGTAAAGCCAGGCGCAGTGGCTCACGCCTGTAATCACAGCACTATGGGAAGCTGAGGCAGGAAGATTACTTGAGATCAGGAGTTTGAAACTTGTCTGAATGAAGTGAGACCCTGACTTATGAAAAAAATTTAAAAACCCAGCCAGGCACCACGGTGAGCACCTGTAATCCCAGCAGCTGTGGGAGGCTGAGGCAGCAGGATGCCCACAGCCTGAGTCTGAGGTTGCAGTGAGCTATGACACCATCGCACTCTGCTCAGGGCACAGGGTAGAACTCTGTCTTCACAAAAAATACAAGGCAACAGATTAAAGGTAAAAACCCTCCACTCCAGGGCCCCCAAATAGCCAAGGGCAGCAGATTGGTGCTTTCACCTCACAGGCATTTTTGTACTCATACAAAAATATACACTCAGAAAGAGTTTAGTTCATTCATTATAAAATTAGGATTCCACACTCACAATTCCATAATGCTTTTTTGCAGCCAATATTTTTTACAGATACTTTTCTGCTTTAGTCCACAGACAGCAGCCTTAGTCTTTAACAGCTGTGTAGCTCCTGTTCCTTTTCATAGTATCGGGAAAACTGTTACAAATTCTTTCATTTTCCTGGTCTCTTCCCTGAGCGACACAGCCTGTTTCATTGAGTCTTTATTCTTAGACTATTAGATACAGATATAGTCACAGACACACACATAGACAGAACAGTGTCATATAGGGAAGAATATGGTAATGTGCTCTAGAAACATGTCTCATCTTTACTAAACTGACTCTCCTCTGTGCCTTCAGATAGTCATAAATCTCACATAGCTCCTCAGAAAGACTTTTTCTGATCCAACTCGAAATCCCGGCACCCCAAGTCCCCACTATACCCCATACCAGCTTCACTTTTCACAACACTCAGCATATCTTAACATTATGTTATTTATTTGTTTGTTGAGTTGTAATCTCCCCCAATTCAGTGTAAACTCATTAGTGCCAGAGATTGCCTTTTTGTTACTGTGATATTCTAGTACCTAGTTCTATCCTGACTTCTAATAGCACAGATTTGGTCTGTCCATGTTTATCATCCTCTAAATGAAATTATACAGGAATAACAAAACTACAAATGTTTAAAAATATTTCCTGAGGGCAAGGCACAGTGGCTCATCCCTATAATCCTAGTACTCTGGGAGGCTGAGGCGGGTGGACTGCCTGAGCCCAAGAGTTCCAGACCAGCCTGAGGAAGAGCGAGGCCCTGCCTCTATTAAAAATAGAAAAACTGGCTGGGCATAGCTGTGCATGCCTATAGTCCCAGCTACTTGGGAGGCTGAGGCAAGAGGATTGTTCAAGCCAAACAGTTTGAGGTTGCTGTGAGCTATCATGCCACAGCACTCTATCCAGACCAACAGAGTACTCTACCTAGGGAATAGGCAGTACATTCTCACTGCTAAGAATTCCCAACTTGCCTGTAGGAGGAAATGAAAATTACACAAGTATTTCACAGAATAAGGAGGGATCAAACATCTAAACTTTTTTCTTTAATTTTAGTCCCTTAGTGAGATTCTGCCTCAAAAAGAAATAAATATATATAGATATATAAGATGAATAACCATAAACCCTAAAACAATGGATATTAAAATGCATCTGCTCCTGAAATTTTGAGTTTCTAGCTTGAAAATATATACAGTATACTCATGTATATACACACGTGTGTGCGCATAGCTCTCATCAGAAGCAAAAAAACGCAATTTGAAACCTATAGTACCTGGAGGTCTAAAAACCAACTCATCAGTGTGGATTTTACTTGAGATGTATAAAACTGGAACACTGAGGGAATGTTCTAGCAGAAACTCAAAGACCTTCGAATAAGCATCCAGTAATCGTGCTCTCACTGAAGGTCATTCCCACTCTTGTTCATATCCAACAAGGGAGATATTTGACTTTTTGTCCCTAACATGATATAAATTTTTCCCCAGGCATTATTAAAATTTCCTCTTTTATCTGTTTATATATACTATCACATCATAAAAGCGATCAGTGGATATTAAAGTATATGATAAGCTCACCACTAGGCTGAGCTCAACCACAGGCTAATTTTCTTAATGTGTGCATCATGATATTGGGCCTAGTGGTCAATGCAAAAATGTTTAGCATAAGCTTACCTGTCGTTCCGAAAAATCTTTGGTAGATACCTTCTGGGGAACCACATGGCCAGAGCACACATCAGAACCCAAAGGATTGCAAGTTCATCAAGCATCTGACCCAGGAAACTAAGGGTTGCATGGAAGTAGACGGATCCAATTCCTAAAATCAATTACAACCAAGAAAAAGGTCACCACAAAAGAAGAGACTCATAAATTCAAAACGCTGCTTAAGGATAACCCTTTCATCAACTGCTATCACAAATCACCAGATCACTCTCTCTCTCTCTGAAAAAAGAAACTGAAGGAAGAAACCTCACACCACCCAGCCATGCAGACCTCGAATCTAGAAAGAGGACTTCAATGAGAGCCCAAGTATCACGTGTCAGAACTTTAACAATTCCACAGTTAAACACCCTCTGTCTTCCTCCACTGAGCCTTCAGGATAACAGGCAGTACATCAAAGTCAACATTCACTGGCTGCTAAAAATCCCCAACTTGTCCATAGGAGGAAATGAAAAGTACATAAGTATTTTACAGAACAATGCGGGATCAAACATCTAAACTTTTTTCTTTAATTTTAGTCCCTTAGGCACCACAGTTTCACCAGAGTTCAGTTGTTTCACGTGACTTTCTTCAGATGTTCTCAGAAAACATAGTGGCACAAGCCCAATAGCTATGACCCAAACGAAGTCCCAAATGCAAGCAAGTGACAGTTAACACCAACTTTGTTATCAAGCCCACATTCAAAGCGTCCTTCTGGCGTCAAGCGAAGGGGGAAAAAGCTCAGGAAGACGTCAGAGGGACTTTAGTTTACAAAACATCATGTTCAAAGGCGACAGGAAGTGTGCGGAATCCCATTTCCTCCCACCCAGCCCATGTTCCCAAGTGAGTCCACTCACCCACTACAACTAGGAGAGTCCAGATCAAGTAGATGCCGCTGTTGAAGCAGGCTGCATACTGCCGGAACAGGCACATGCAGATGGGCGGCAGAATGAAGAACAGGACGTTGCTGATCTGGGGGGGATGAAAAAAAAAAGATGACTATTCAGTGAAAGGGCGAAAAACAAGGCAGCCTCCTCCAAGTATATCCTCTGCAAACTGGGATAAATGTGGCCACACATCTTGTTTAAACTCCTGCACTTTTTTATATCTTGTTTAAACTGCCTTTCTTTACTGTGGATACACAATCAGGAAAACTTAATACTCCTTTAATAAAGCCGTGGCATATAACCATTTAAGGGCTCCTTGCTGCCTCCATGATTGTGCAAGTAGCTATAAAAACACTGCAGTGTAGGGCGGCGCCCGTAGCTCAGTTGGAAGGGTGCCGGCCCCAAACACCGAGGTTGGTGGTTCGAACCCAGCCCGGGCCTGCTAAATCAACTGCAACAACAAAAAAATATATAGCCAGGTGTTGTAGCAGGTGCCTGTAGTACCAGGTACTTGAGAGGCTGAGCAAGAGAATCACTTGAGCCCACGAGTTGGAGGATGCTGTGAGCTGTGATACCACAGCACTCTACCTAGGGTGACAGCTTGAGGCTCTGTCTCAAAAAAAGAAATTGCGGTCTATGAGACTCATTTTTATAGGATCATCTCTATCATCAGGATCATCTCTTGAGTCAAAGAACCAGTAACTCCTATTGTTTGTCGTAAGAAGTATGAAGCATTCCAATTTACTTGCGTTTATTTTTAAAAACATGTTTTTAAAAACAGGGTCTTGCTGTGTTACCCAGGCTGCCTGTTAACTCCTGCATTCAAGTGATTCTCTCTCCTCAGACTCCAGAGTAGCTGGGAATATAGGCACATGCCACCAAGTCTGGCTGCACGTAAATTTTTAAAGATAAGGCCCGTACTAAATAATGGTAAACGGTTTAATGAAGGGAGAAGAAGGGGTAGACAGGGTCCAGCTCCTAATAAGCCTCCGCCAGTTAAGCCAGCCTTTTCCCAGGGCCTGCATGGAGAGAGGACTCTTTCTAGTGTCCCCTCAGTTGTCCTTTGTCAGCTTTCTCATCTTAATCAAAACCTATTTTTAGGTAATGGCCAAATTGGAGAGTTTCTTCTCAGCTTTAAAATGATATCATTGGCCGGCGCGTGGCTCATCCTGTAATCCTAGCACTTTGGGAGGCTGAGGTGGGTGGATTGCTTGAGCTAAGAAGTTCAAGACTAACCTGAACAAGAGTGACAGCCTCGTGTCCACTAAAAAAAAAAACAGAAAAACTAGCCAGGCATTGTGGCAGGCACCTGTAGTACCTCCTACATGGAAGGCTGAGGCAGAAGGATCACTTGAACCCAAGAGTTTGAGATTACTGGGAGCTGTGATACCACAGCACTCTACCCAGGGCAACAGAGTGAGACTCTATCTCAAAAACAAATAAACAAATGAATAAGTAAATTATTTAAAAAAATAAAATAAAATGGGGTGGGTAGCACCTGTGGCTCAAGGAGTAGGGCACCAGCCCCATATACCAGAGGTGGTGGGTTCAAACCCGGCCCTGGCCAAAAAAAAACTGTAAAAAAAATAAATAAATAAAATGGACACAGCACCTGTAGCACAGTGGTTACTGGCCACCTACACCGAAGCTGTCGGTTTCAAGCCTGGCCTGGGCCTACTAAACAACAATGACAACTGCAACAACAACAACAAAAATCTGTTTGTTCACCAATTTTTAAAAATGTAATTTAATTTAAAAAATGATAATTTAGGCTCGGCACCTGTGGCTCAAGTAGCTAAGGAGCCAGCCACATACACCAGAGCTGGCAAGTTCAAATCCAGCCCAGGCCTGCCAAACAACAATGACAACTGCAACCAAACAATGGCTAGGCATTGTGGCGGGCGCCTGTAGTCCCAACTACTTGGGAGGCTGAGGCAAGAGAATTGCGTAAGCCCAAGAGTTTGAGATTGCTGTGACCTGTGATCCCACAGCACTCTACCCAGGGCAATGGCTTGTGGCTCTGTCAAAAAAAAAAAAAAAAAATGGTCTCATATAGTGCAGACTTTAGTGCACACTTAAACCTCTCCAGGGATATTCAGCTTTTTAAAAAATGTTAATAATATGTCATATTTATTGCAATGTATTCAAAATATTATCATTTGAACATATAGTCACTATTAAAATATCATAGATGAGGTATTTTATTCTTTCGTTCATAGCAAGGCTTTGAAGTTCAGTGTAAATTTCACCCTTTATAGCAAGCCTCAGTTGGGACTAGCCATGTTTCCTGTGCTAGGTAGCCACATTTGGCCAGTGACTGCCATGTGTCACAGCATAATTCTAATCTAGAACTCACCCCTAGTTTTAATTTATTTTCTGCTTGGTTGGTTTTGGTTTGGGAATTTTTTTTAGGAATCAAGGTTTTTCCCTGAATTTTTTTTCGAGACAGAATCTCGCTTCATCATTCTGGGTTGAGTGCCATGGCATCATCATAGCTCACAGCTACCTCAAACTCCTGGGCTCAAGCAATCCTCTTGCCTCAGCCTCCCAAGTAGCTGGGACTATAGGCACCAGCTATGGACACCCGCCTGATTTTTCTACTTTAGTAGAAATAGGGTCTCACTCTTGCTCAGGCTGGTCTTGAACTCCTGAGCATTCCACCCACCTCCAGAATGCTAGGATTATGGGCGTGAGCCACCATGCCCAGCTTTTCCCTGAACTTTTAAAATTGTGGTAAAATTCACAAAGCACAAAACTAGTTATTTTAATGACAGTACATTCATAATATGTAACCATCACCTCTATCTAGTTCCAAAATGTTTCCATCACCTCAAAAAGAAAACCCATTCCTGTTAAGCAGTCACTGTCCATTGCTCCCTCCCCACCGCCGGCAACTGCCACTCTATTCTAGATATTTCATGTAACCTTTTGCGTCTGGCTTCCTTCACTTTAGCATAATCTTTTTAAGGTTCATCATATTATAGCACATATCAGTACCTGATTCCTTTTTAGAGCTGGATAACATTGCATTGTAAGGATGTACTAAACTTCCTTTATCCATCCCCCCATTAATGGCTACTGGATGCTACGGTCTGAATGTATCCCTGCCTCCAAATTCATATATGTTGAAACTTAATCCTCAATGTGATGGTAGTCATTGTGGGAGGTAGACAGGTTGACTTCTCAGCGGAGCACCCTGCCTCAATTCTGAGGTAAGCAGGGAGTATGCCTGCAAGGGGGTAATTCCTGGGAGTTCTTTATAATCACAAAAGAGGAGAAGAATCCGGAGGCCCAGCACTTGAGAGTCAACAGCCGGAAGGGATTAAACTCTTCCAATTTACAGTTAAACTAGAAAACCTGTAGTACCCCCTCTATTGCCATAGCCACTGGCTGTTTACCAACCCCCTGCCATTTACCCTGGCTTTCTCTCTATCCAGTCTTCCTGGGAACTTGGCACCTTTGTTAAAAACTAATAAAAACCTTCAGAAGAAGCCAGGAAGGGGCTGCGTTATCTCTGTCTACCCACCCTGGGTTAGTGTAAGCCATCTCCAGGCATCCTCAGACTTGTTTTTCCTTAACACTGGTGTTGAGTTAGTTCTTTGGGTGCACTTCAGCCCCCGCAAGTCATGTCAACCCCTGACAAGTCACGTGCCACACAACAACATTTCAGTCCATAACAGACCACATATACAACGGTAGACCCATAAGATTATAAGGGAGCTTTAATAGTGTATTTTTACTGTACCTTTTCTATAGATACAACTAAATACAGATGTTTGGATACACAAATACTTACCCTTGTTTTACAACCGCCTACAATATTTAGTACAGTAACATGGTATGAAGGTTTGTAGTGTAGGAGCAACAGGCTATACTGTATAACCCACGTGCGTAGTAGGCTATACCATCTAGGCTTATGTAAATATACTCTATAATATTCACAGGACAGCAAAATCACTTGACCATGCATTTCGTAGGATGTATCCCCACTGAATGACTGTATTAAGATAGGGGCCTTTTAAGAAGAGATTAAGTCACGAGGGCAGAGCTCTTATAATTTGTATTAGCATTCTTATAAAAGATGTGGGAGGGAGTTGTGTGCCATTTCCACCAGGTGAGGGTGCAGCAGGAAGCACCATCTTTGAAGCAAGGAGCCCTCACGGGACCCCAAACCTGCCGGCACCTTTTTTTTTTTTTTTTTTTTTTGAGAAAGTCTTACTTTGTCATCCTCAGGAGTCTGCCTTGTGGTCTCAGCTCCCATCACCTCAAACTCTTGGGCTTAAGTGATTCTCTGCCCTCAGCCTCCCCAGTAGCTGGGACTACAGGCACCTGCCACAACGCCCAGCTATTTTTAGAGACAGGGTCTCATCTTGCCCAAGCTGGTCTCAAACCGGTGAACTCAGGCAATCCACCTGCCTCAGCCTCCCAGAGTGCTGGGATTACAGGCGGGAGCCACCACTCTCAGCCTCTGCCAGCACCTTGATCTTGGACTTACCAGCCTGTAGAACTGTAAGAAATAAATTCCTTTTGTTATAAATTTCTCAGTTTAAGGCATTTTGTTATAGCACCAAGAATGGACCAAGACACTGACTGACATGGCAATTTCATGTTTTTACATTTTCATCAGTGTTGTGATTCCTCCACATCCTTGGCAACTCGTGTTATATTCTGGCTTTTGTTTTTTTGTTTTTTGTTTTAGAGACACAGTTTCACTTTATCACCCTCAGTAGAGGGCTACGGAGTCACAGCTCACAGCAACCTCCAACTCCTGGGCTTGGCCATTCTCTTGTCTCTGCCTCCCCAGTAGCTGGGACTATAGGTGCCTGATGCATACCTAGCAATTTTTTTGTTGTAGTTTGCCCGGGGCCGGGTTTGAACCCACCACCCTCGGTATATGGGGCCGGCGCCCTACTCACTGAGCCACAGGCACCACCCTGTTTTTAAATTAAAGCCATCTTAGAAAGTATGAAATGGTAGAGACAATCAGCTTCTTATAGCTCATCTCTAACTGTGGAGTGAGGGGCTCCTTGAACAGGCTGTGCACAGAGTTAGTGTGTTGAGTCTGAAGACCACAGTGAGTCTAAT